CTCCAGCATCTGTTGTTGTTAGAGTTCTTGATTTTTGCCGTTCTAACTGGAGTGAGGTGGTAGAGATCTGAGGATCTTGGTTTGAAGCCAGCCCTGGCAGGAAAGTTTGTGAGAAGTTTACCTCCAATTAATCAGCAAAAGTAAAATAAAACAAAATAACTAAAAATTAAGAGCCTGAAATGGAGCTGTGGCTCAAGCAGTAGAGTACTAGCCTAGAGAAAAATAAAGCTCGGGGACAGTGCCTAGGCCTTGAGTTCAGGTCCCCCCACCCCTTAAAAAAAGTTCAACCTCAATATGGACCAGAAACATCACCTCCTGTCATTCCCTCCTGTGCTACTCATATATCAGGGTTTTCAGATGGGCTGAATTTCAACAGCAGATCGCCATTATTTTATAAGAAAATATCATCTCTTTATTTCTGAGACCTGCCCAAATGTAACCATTGTTAGCAGATGACATGATGCTGTTCACTTCAAGGGCTCCCCCATTCCTGAGTTTCTGGGAGACCCTTATATTGTAGGCATGAATCTAACAGTGAGGCCTTGACTGGGAAGTTACCCTTCATATTCTTCCGGTAACTTGAAACTCTCGTTGGAAAGCCTGTCATCTTGGGGAAAGATAAGATTTAAGCTTTCTGGTGCTTTTCTCTAGTGGTTCATCTTTCCAAAGGGAATTTTCAGCCTTCTCCAGGCCTTGCTTTGCCTTTACTTGCAGGGCGATTACATGAGTATGCAAATGTGGTTAATTTAAAGGAAACCAGAGTGTGCTGGTAAATGCCTAATGACCAGCTCTCTGAGTGTGAGTATAAAAGGCCACCATGCTGGTGGCTCACACCTGTAATCCTAGCTACTCAAGAGGCTGAGATCTGAGGATCATGGTTTGAAGCCAGCCTGGGCAGGAAGGTCTGTGAGACTCTTTTTTTGGGGGGGGGGTCCATAATGGAGCTTGAATTCAGGATTTGGCACTGTCTCTGAGCTTTTTCACTCAAGTCTAGCACTCTACCACTTTGAACCTCAGCTCCACTTTTTTTCCCCCCTGGTGGTTAATTGGAGATGAGTTTCATGGACTTTGCTGCCTGGGGTTGGCTCTGAACTGTGATCCTCAGATCTCAGTCTCCTGAGTAGCTAGGATTACAGGCATGAGCCAGCATGAGATTCTTATCTCCAATACCCAGAAAAAGCCAGAAGTGGCACTGTGGCTCAAGTGGTAGAGCAATAGCCTTGAGCAAAAGAAGCTTAGGGACAGCATCCATACCCTACGTTCAAACCCCAGGACCCACCCCCTCCCCTGCCCTGCCCCCCACCCCGCCCAGACACAAAGGCCCTCACTTGTGGTGTTTGCCAAGATCCATGTCTGATCTGAAGCTACTGATGTGACATCATCAGGCGCCAATTCTGGCAAGACATTTTGCCTGACAGAAGAGCATTGTTCTGTCCATAATGAGAAATTGTGCACATTGCTCCTTTGAATGATTATGTTAGTGAATGGGGGAAGGAGAACTTACCAGTTCCCAAAAAAGGAGAAGAAAACTACTTTCCTTGGGTTGACTATCAACTATCTTGACTATAAAAGGAAACCCAGGTACTATCAAGTGACCAGGTTGTTTCTGCTGCTCTAGTGAGCTCAAATCTCTCCCAGGGTTTTTCATTCTAAAATTGAAAAGGCGTGTTCATTTTCTAGGGCTCCCACCATAAGATCCTCAAAACTAGGTGACATTAATATCAGAAATCTATTGCTTAGCTCTTCTGGAAGGTAGAACTTCAGGACTGAGTGTCATCCGTGTTAGCTCCTCCCAATGACTGGCAAGGAAGAATGCTCCTTGCCCGTCTTCCAGCTTGTGATGTTGTACAAGCCATGTTTAGCCTTCCTGGGCTTGTAGCTGTGTCCGCTATTTCTGCTTTCATCTTCCTGTGGTCTCTCCCTTAGAATTTTCCTTTTTCCTTTCCAAAATAAGGACACTAATAGTATTGGATTAGGAGCTCAGCCAATTCCAGTATGACCTCATCTTCACTAACTACATCTGTAACAAGGCCGATTACAAATAACTTTACATTCTGAGGTCCTGGGGCATAACATTTCAACATATGAATATTTGAATACATAATCCAACCACATAACAGAAGAGAGAGAGAGAATTTGTGTGTCTGTGGGGGAAAGATGGTCTTATATTTATGTGCAGACCTCTGTAACAATTCAATAACACAGAAGACACTTTTCCAAAAATTATATTAAGTGAAGTAAGCCAGGTCCAAAGAAACATAGGTCCCATGGTTTCCCTTATTTGTAATATCTAGTATATGTCTGAATCAAGCAGAAAAGGTCAGATAAGGTGATGCTAGGGAAATGAACCCTAAGATATATATTCAAATGTTTTTTTCTTTCGTGCGATTGTTTCTAATGCATTTATAAGATTATTTCTTTGTTGCTTTGTATGTCCCTCCCGCACAGTATAACCCCTGCTTTCACTGTATTTGATGTTGGTATAATTTGTGGAGGGGAAAGGGAAAAACAAATCATTTAAATAGGGATACAGGTAGACCCATTGCAACAATGAGATGCTTTACAACTTTGGTGCGGGGCGGGGGGGGAGCAGGGAGAATTGGGTGGAGGGGCAGGGGGAGGCTGGGAAGGGATGGGAAGGGGAAACAAAGGAGGAGGCTACAATGCTTGATAAGAAATGTACTCATTATCTTGCCCATGTAATTGTAACCCTTCTGTACAGTATTTTTCACAGTAATAAAAAAAAAGACACTTTTCCACCAAAGGGCTAGAAAGTGTGAATATAGATGACTCACACTCAATGTGATGCAGACTAGATGAGAAAGAGGACATGTTGGAAACCTGAATGTCCTCTCACTCTGTGAGTTCTGGACCTTTCTAGTAGAAGCACATTTCCTAGCTTTGATGGTTCATGGTGGGGCTGGGGGGTGGGAGGTGTGAGATGGGGTAAGGGTGGAGCGAGGGGAGGATGGCAGGGAAGGTATACCCTCTATTTAGGACCAAAATTTCCTTGACAGCATCAAGGACAAGTAGCAGTTAGAGCAGAGACTGACTGATTGTGGGAACACCCTGTGAACCTACACCCCCAAAGAAGAGAAGGAAGGATGAAAGAAAGGAAGATCCAAAGCCAGGCAGAAGCAGATAAGGTGAGAGGCCTTCAGCCCCATGATTATGGGTCCTTAAACCCAGATGTTCACACATCCTGGGGCTGGGATCTTGCAGTTGCCTGGAATCCAGCACATCTGTCTGTTTCTTTCTAGGCCATTCAGGGACTTGTTTTAACTATCCCACTGAATTCAGCATTCCGGTGCCTCCTTCCAAGAAACTCCTTCAATTGAGTTATGTAGATTTCTGTATCCACAACACAGAGACACACTAAAATGTGGAGCTTGGTCACCCACACTCCACCTAACACACCACCCTGACGGGAAAGTAGGTTGTTGTTAATTCAGAGCACCAGTTACCTCATGCCCTTTTCCATTCTGTGTGAGTTTATAAAAGTCCTTCCACAGAGTCCCAGGACCTTAGGGTCTCATCCTGAAGGATGTTGTTTTGAGCAACACCTCAAACTTTAGCGGGTCTTCTTAAAGTGCAGTCGGATGCATCAGGTGGATGAGGCTGAGAAATGGCACCAGCTCACACTCCTAGGTGGACCTAGTCACCACACTAGTAGAGTTCTAGCTACTCAGGAAGCTGAGATCTAGAAGATCTCAGTTCCAAGCCAGCCTGGGGAAGAAAAGTCTGTGAGACCAGCACAATGCTGGAATAGAGTGATTAAATGGAGTTGTAGGGTGCTTTCCATGAGCAGGAAAGCTGAGTGAGAATGTAGGGCCCTGAGTTCAATTTCTGGTACTAGCACCAAACCAAATCACCATCACCACCACCAATCCCCTTCCCCAATGCTTTGTGAAGGCATATTCAAACCAGGACTGTTGTGTCACTTTAGGTCCCTGGACTCACGGAGCAGAGACAAGTCACTCCCAATATGCCCTATCTGAGTTCATGATTAGGCTTCAGGAACCTGCAGTAGTTGTATTTTGAGGTCAGTTGTGACTGTGGCTGACACTTACCATTTGCTGGGTATTCATTCCCCAGTGCCTTGTATATGCATGCTTATCTCATGTATACCTCATTTGGATCCTAGTCCTTTGAAGGACCCAACATTGTGACTATTGTACAGGCAAGAAAATAAACTCAACCGGGTTAAGTCACTTGCTACTGGGTGCTCAGGCCCTGAATGGTGAAGCAGTGAGTTGACCCAGCAATCCCCTAATCCCCAAGCCTGGGCTTGTGTCTTGTCTTGGGTGGTCATTACTCTAAAACCTCACCTCTGTCTCTCACTAAGTGGCACTATGCAGGCTCTCCAGGCTGTCCTGTCTTTGGAGCCCCTGCCTTTGTCTCCTTCCCTGACTCTTGGTCAGTAGACCAAGAGGCTAGTTTTAGGAACCCATGGACATAAAGGTTATTGCTTAGACCTCCTACCATGGGAGTACTGTGGTTATCCTCTAGCTCCTGCCCTTGAATTTGGTCTCATCCAATGTGGGTTGAGCATCTACTTCCTGTAGGCTGGTCCCAACCAGCCAGGGAGCATGGAGGGGAAGGTAATACTGGCCCATTGTTGCCCAGGATGGGTGACTTTGGCTGAGGGCAACCTGTGAATCTAGCAGAAACTTCCTTAGAGAGGGGCAGTCATCTGACACCTTTTTCTCCTCAATACAGGGATCTGGCCCTGTCATTGTGAGAAGTCTCCTCTGCTGCCTGCTCTCCTTCCTCCTCTTTATCCATCAGAGATGTCCTTCCCTGTAAGTTTCCTGCCTTGCTCAACCTATTTTTGGTGTGTTCTTTTCTCACAGGATCTGAGTAGCACACAGGGAAAGAACCCTACCTCTTCTCCTGCCCCTGCCATGGCTTTTCATCTCCTGTACTGTCACCATGACTTCACCCACCAGCTCCCATCTCGTGAGGGGACTGGGATCTCATGGTGGCGGGGATGTCTTTACCTTGTTCACACCGTCGGCCATGGCCTGAAGCGTGAGCTCTCGGGGCCCGTCCACTGTCTTCCCGTTGTCTGTGGGGCCCCAGCTGGCACTGTAGATGTCGATCAGTTGAGGCATGTGGCTGATGGAGGAGGCCTCAATGATGTCTGTCATAAATGGCTGGTCCAGCATCCGGATACCTGTGGACAGGTGTGAGCGGAGATAACACATTTTGTTACCCAAGTCATAAGGAGACCTGGCAATGGAGAAGAGCTTGGGTGATAGCTATGGTTAGAACAGATGGCAACCTTGGATGATCCAGGGAACAGTTTGGAATCCAGGGATCAGAAAGGATGCCTCAAGATCTTGCTCATGCCTTCTGTTATGGTACTACTGGCAAAAGGATTTATTCCCCTAGCAAACTTCACTACAATTCCTATAATGGTAAGAGACCATGTTTGCTGAAGAGATTCCTTGATAAGCCCATTTGTTAAGTGGAAGCTCAGCCTGCAGGAATTCCATGTTGACTGGGGTCAAGGTCCATGAGAGAAATAAAGCAACTATGTGTGACAGGTAGAGGAGATAACTGAGAGTTAAGGGGAAATTCCAGAGGTCAAGGATGGACAGGGACATGTCCAAGTTATGATGAGGAAAGAGGGGTTCTCAGTTCAGTATAGCTGAGAGGGGACATTGGCGAGGAAGTGTTGAGTGGGATACTTTAAACTGTGTTAGCAATGGGATGTGTGATGCAGCCCCTCCTCTCCCTCCCATGGTATATCAGTGATGTTTGTGTTTCTCTCTGATGCCATGTAGGCATGACTTCTTGCTGGACTAAGTAGGTAAGCCTGAGCTTCTCACTGGGATACAGGAGAAGAGAAGAGGGTGGCTTCCATTTCTATATCTCCCATAGTGCACATCATTCTTTGACCATCCAGAAAGTGCCTCTCCAGGGCTAACTCACCAGCAGCCAATGAGATGGGCTTCCTGCCCACCATCACAACCTTCAAAGTGCTGCTGATTGGGCCATTTTGTTTTCTATAGCAACAACCCCTCCCTTCCCCCCCCTTCTGGAGGGGGAGGAATCAGTTGGTAACAGTATTCTGTGGTAAGGAGTCTAGAGTGTTATGTAGCTGACTTACTTCTTTCGATGCATGAGGACCGCTGGAATTAACACTCTTTTCATTTATTTACTTTTTTTGGTCAGTCGTGGGTCCTGAACTCTGAGCCTGGGCACTGTTCCTCAGCTCTTTCAGCTCAAGGTTAGTGCTCTACCACGGACCCACCTTCCCAGCGCTTTACTATTTTTTTTTTAAATTAGAGGAAGCCTTATCTGGAATAAATCTAATCTTTGGTTTGAATGTTTTGCAAGCTAAGTTTTATGCTTTATCAGGAGATAGGAAGTCTAAAACTCTACACGAAGATGGCCAGTAGGCCACAGAATAAACAGACCAGCATAGTTTTTACATGAAGTTATACAGATGTGAGTGAGCATGCATGTGCATGCACACATACGTGTGTGTGTGTGTGTGTGTGTGTGTAGGGTGTGGGGGAGAGTCCTTTCTTCACTTGTCCAGAAGGAGAAAGCTCAAATGCTCTTGAACCTGTCTAATGCCTGAATAACCACCTCAATGAGAAGGTGATAGAAAGTCAAATCTGAGCAAGGTTACCTTGATTTCTCCATCCATCAGCTAAAGGCAGCTGAGGTTTTGTCAGAGCTGGCTTAGTGGCAATTAGGTGTGCCAAATACCCTCTTCCTTTTTGCAGTTCTGCACCTTTAGCTGCTCTCCCTCTTCGCCCCAATGGTGAATGGGAATTCCCAATGGGAGTCCCTTCCTACTGCACAGGAACACAGGGGCTGACATATATTAATCTTCTGACTGCTTTAGCACCAAGGTGGAGGCGGGCAGGAGTGGCCACAGACTGCAAGCCATGTCCACTCATATTGTACAGCTAGGTGCCCGACATTTAATTGTGTTAAGTTCAGGAGGTATGAGGCATACCTTAACTAAATGAGATACAGTATTAGCAAGCAACAATACCATTAAGATGCCCAAATGTGACTTGAGGACATTTAGGGAGGGCCTCTCCCCTGACTCTGGATGCTGAGGAGCTAGAGGGACCAGGTGTGTATGTCCAGGGTGGGTGGGTGGGTAGAGAGGGATGTCAAAGGGGTGAGGAGTCTGTTTCCTTACCACTGTAAAGACTGCCGCAAGTGTGTGGCCTCTCTTCCATTTATTTAGAGTCCTTATTTATTTACCTGCTTATCTGGCACCACAGCTGGCCTTCCTAGTGGCCTGGGATTGGCATGGTCTAGTGGATTGGAGGCAGAATTGTTTCTGCTTTGACCCCATTGCCAAGGATGTATATGCACCTGACATCTGTCCAGGCTCATCAGAATCAGTTTGTGCACTCATGAATATTATCCTTGAAGGCTAAGGAGCACGTTTACACTCATTCAAGTTTTAGGGTCTGAAAACTCATTAATCACTGTACTTATGGTGATTTATTTTATTGGCTTATTTAAAACTCAGATGAAATAGGTACAAAGTCATTGAGGTGTTATAAGATTTATTGGCTAATAAAAATAATGGTAATCTATGAAAGTGATTCATTGCTGTAGAGTCAATTGCACGACATTCTGACAGTAATCAACAGTGTAGTTTTCAAATGCCGAAAATTCTGCTTCAAAATAATCATGATAAATAATAATAATAATAATAATAATAAGACAATCAACAGCAATGAGTGCTGGGAAGGAAAACTGTAGGGTGCTTTTTAAAAAACCAAGTCTGGATGAGTAAAGTGGCCAGAGAAGCAATGTCAGAGGAAGCAAGGGGCTCTTGAGAACTAAGAGAAGAAAAGGAGGTAGCCATGAAGCATAAAGGAAAAGGTTCTGGGCAGAGGGACCAGCCTATATGAGGGTCCAGGAGAATAGTGACTACACTTTCTTATGCATTTGCTAGGAGATTTCCAGTCTGAGTTGTGTTTAGCCATGTATACCTATATCACAGAGACAGGATGGACTACAGCAGAGAGGCTGTTGGGCACACTGACCCTTGGATGGAGGAAAATTGAACTAGGTCCTTCCTCAGTCAGCACCACCTGTCAGGTGGACAGCAGATGAATTCATGACTGCATATGAAAGTTATGGAGAAGATAGCTACACTGAAATGAATCTAGGGCTAGCTCTATGACATATACCAAGAAAGCCTGAAAATCAATGAGAAGAGAAATGAGCAAAGTTTATGAACTGAAAACTAAGTAGGAAACAAACTCTTGGAAAGATGCTAGTGCATATTTTTCTTTTTCTCCCTTTAGAAGAATCATCTCAAAATTCACCTACAACATTTTTTAAAAAAATTCCTAAGCTAGGAATCAACAGGATTCTTCATTTTTAGAGCAGAGAAGGACTTCAACATCACTGTCAAAACCCTAACCTGTAAAATCATCTCGGAGACTAACAGAGACCAGCGGTGACCGCAGTAGGCCACTAGAGGGCAATGTAGCCCTCTCTGGATCAGAAAGCTCTGGACAGGAAGATTTTTTTTTTCTAGAAGAATTTGACTCATTTTTAACAAGTAATAAAATGCCAGACAACTCTCACAATTGTCAGGTTGAGTGAGTAAAATATCAGGCTCCTCAAATCTGTAAGTTTGAGTAAGCTGAAACTCTGCCCTTGTTTGCAAGGTGTGAGTAACTAGTATTTCCTTGAACTAGAATTCCTTTTCAACTCTCTTCCAGGAATCCAGAGGATGCTAGATGCCTCGAAGGGCACCAGCTCTGAAGGGTGGAATTAGCTTACCCAGTGCCAGAACAGTTAGGATGAGAGTGATTGGCCACAAGGAGCAAGGCTGGGTTAGAGGAGTGGACAAGGCAGCGTCTTTGCTCAAAATTTGTGTGGCAGGTTGAGGATCTATATATCCCAGTGGGTTAGAGGCATTCAATTGCTTTTGGCAGGGGAGGCAGAGGCTCCTCCAGCCATCTGGGCCTCTGACTGGGAGGCTTTCTCTACCTAGCTGAGTCCTGCTCAGCCCTGGTGAGCTACATGAGCTACTGAGAGTATTACTGGCCAATGAGTCACAGGTGCTGGTGAATCAACTCCCCAGCCTCCTCACCTGGTGTGAGGGGTCCATTTTGAGAGCCACCTGCAGGGCTGAGCCCTGGTTGTCTATTAGACTGATCAGTGTGTCAATCTACCTTCTGTGGCTTCCTTCCTTTAGCTCTCTTTCCCCTCACCCCCTAGTTATTCACTCTGGGGTCCTAGGATTACCCTTTCATCCCTTCTTCCCCACTCCAAAAAGCCACTGGCACCCAAATCCTTGTCTGGTGTTTTGCATTTAGGGAATCCAAACTAAGAGAGCAGGAAAATTAGGTACAATTGTGAGCAGCTCAGATGTTTACAGAGTGCAAATAATAAAAGGAGAGAAAGACAGAGCAAGACAGAGGCGGAGACAGAGAGAGACAAAGAGATAGCTAGAGAGACAGAGATAAGGGGACAGGGAAGGAACCATCACACACTTCTAAGAAGCCATGGCCAGCACCTCTTTTAAATGCTATAGACTGTTATTTTACAAATCTCTTTGTTCAAAAAAGCCAGTAACTCCATTGAAGACCATCACTGAAAATGAGAAACTCAGGTTTGAAAATTTCAATTGTCTCCCATTTTCCCCTGTGACTGGCATCAGGTACCACTCCAGGTGTGAGCCTGGCTTATAAAATAAATATCAACAGAAGGAAATCCTTTCTCCTGAGCTCATCACAGCTTCTGACATTTTGGATGCACACAAAGTTAAAGGGCTGACACCTGGGGGCCAAGCTTCCTCTATGTACATTTCAGAAACCCCCAGATGCATTCTTTGTGAACTTTCTCACCCTCATCAGGCAAGTCTCCCAGGAGATGGTGTTGAATGGATTAAGTGTGGGGAGATAGCGGCTTGCTCTATTTAGGCTCCTGGAAATGCAAGGTCAGTACAAAGCCAGTTTATGGAAAATAAAATCAAGGCACTTGAAAAAAAAAAGAAAGGAAAAAAACCAAGGCTGTGTGATTCAGCTTGAATACATCAAGAACTCATTTGATGCAAAATTTGGCATAGCCAAATCCATTCTTGGACATCTTGATAAAAATCTAGGAATCTCGGACTCTCACTGTCTATTTCTGTGATTGTCTGTCTGTCATTCTCGGTGGAAATGGGGTTTGTAAATACCCACTGACTTGCCACTTCCCTTTATAAGGTTTTAGTCTCTGTAAAGAAGAAATGGTTAAATATCACACTCAAGAAATGTCATAAAAAGGTGGCTGAGAGCTGTTGGTTCATGCCTGTAATCCTAGCTACTCATAAGGCTGAGATCGAGGATCATGGTTCCAATCCATTGTGGGCAGGAAAGTCCATGAAACTCCTATCTCCAATTAATTACCAAGAAGCCAGAAGTAGAGCTGTAACTCAAGTGATAGAGTGCTAGTCTTGAGCGAAAAGGCTAAGGGATGACACCCAGGCCCTGAGTTTAGGCCCCAGTACTGGTAAAAATCCCCAATGAAACAAACTACAAACAAAAAACAAAACTAAGTAGACTGTATCTCCTTAGAGATGAATGAAATCCACTGTAAGAAGCACTTTAAATACTCTGAATATCATTATGAATACTTTATACATAGCTTGTCTTATCCTGCAGTCTATATTTGAGTTTCCAGAAAGTATTATTGATAGCAGGGTGTGGGGGTATGTGCCTATAATCCCAGTATATGGAAGACTGAGGCTGTTGGTCAGGGTATTCAAGGGCAGCCTGGGTTACATAGTGAAGTTAGGTATGAATATCGGGATGAATATCGGGATAGCAAAGAGTAGCAAGCTTGCAGTTCCATTTGTATAGAGCTCAAAAACTGTTAGACAACAAGTTTGTGGTTTTTCTTGGGCTGATGCATAGTAGCTGGGTTGTATGAGGAGGGTGTTGAGATCTGGTCATGTGTTGGTTTTGTAGATATTACATTTGTGGGAAAAAATTACTGAGTGTTTACTTATGATCCATGAATGTTACCATATTTGTGTTTAAACTTAAAATAAAAATAGCCTAACGTTTCTGTGAACATTATGATTTACCAAAGTATTCTCAATCTCGTTCTATCTGTGGACCATGTCTCACCTGCCACAGTGTGATTTTTTTTTCTGCTAGGTCCCAGCAAGCTGGAGACCAGAGTGGGATATCTTGTGGGGCTGACTGCCCAGACTGGGCAAGGCCACCTTACCTGCCACCTTGGAGTTGTACGCTACCCCAACTCCACAGATATTGTTGTTGGCTGCAGCTGAAACTTCTCCTGCACATCGGGTTCCATGGCTGGGGGGAAAAATAAAAGACAAGTAAAATGTATTGCTAAAAAGAATGTGGAGGCAATGTCTCAAATTCTACCAGCTGGAGACAATTTGCTTCTTTTCAGTGGCCCAACTGGGGTCGAGACAGCCTGTGGCCCACCTCATTTCCTGTCTGTATATCCCAATGTCCGCTTTCATCCTCCTACTTCATACCCGCGGCCTTCTTGACCTTGGTCTCTTGCTTTCATAAAATGGTTTCTAAGAACATTTTCAACCTTAACATTTGATCTTAACTGTAAAATTTGAAGTATCTTCCTGCAGGAAACACACACGTTTCCTTAAAAATGAAACAATATAAAACAGATATAGATGGGTTAGATGGGCTCTGAGATTCTCTCTCTCTCTCTCTCCCCCTCTTTCTCTCTCTCTCACTTTGTTATTTTGATGGTACTGTGAGTCTTGCCCTTGCTAAGAAGGTGCTGTACCATTTAAGCCATGCCCCTAGCCTCTTTTGGCTTTAGTTAGTTTTGAATGAGGGTCTGGAGTTTTTGCCCAGACTGTCCTGGACTGTGAGCCTCCTATTTATGCTTCCCATGTAGGTGGGATGACACTTGCTAACTTTCTGCCAGGGCTGGCTAAGTAGCTGACATCACAAGCAGGAGCCATGAGGCCTGACTGGCTTTGCTGTGTTGTTTCTTAATTACTGGAGTTGTGGTCTGGTGTTATTTTCAAGAACATTTCAACACACAGGGTGTAATACTGCCTTTCAATAAGGGGGTCATGGCTATGCCTCTTCATTGCATCTTAGCCTTCTGTGAGGAGTGATTGAATACTCCAAGTCTTCACTTTTACCCAGAAAAAAAATCATATACTGGCAACATTTGGCAGTTTGACTTCAAGAGTTCTATAGAAACTGAGACTGAGCAGATTAAGAATCTGGGCAAGGCCTTTCCTTGAGGCAGATAAAACAAATGCCCCAGATCTTAAAAAAAATCAAATCAAAGAATGCAAAAATAACCCCTCCAAACTTCTAAATATATTTATCAATTATAAATTACATATTTATATAGAACACATTTAAATATTTCTATTATAATGTGAATAGGGATATAAATTATAAGTCTTAAATTATGTCATATATCATATAAAGAATGTAACATTAAATGCATATACATTATATAAATGATAATGTATATAAATTATACTGCAATTATATACATGTAATAATTATAATGTATATAAATTATAACAACATAGTATGTTTCCATTTATAAATACTTTAAATATTAATTGTATATACATATATATCCCTATAGCTCTATCTATCTATCTATCTATCTATCTATCTATCTATCTATCTATCTATCTATCTATCTATGCATACACACCTTTTTTTCTCTGCCTGAACAAAAGTAAATCCTACCTCTGTAAAGGCTGTTTGTCTCTTGGGTTCAAAATTCTCTTTGGAATAGGAATGAAATCTGTACACTGTGTACAGATCAACCCTGGAGTCACTGTGAGGTTGATCTGTGGAAAATTCAAGGGCTGAGCATTGCTAGCTACTTGGCTTCAGGGTTTTGCAAAGCACACTGGAGATTTTGGAGAAGGCACTTCAATATGGTTTAACTTGATGGGGCCGTGACTCTCATGGCTTCTATTTCTTTAGAAACTGCTATATAAAATGGGGAGAAAAGGGCAGGCAGGCATGCTCCCACATATGTAGGATACATTATGAAATACACAGACACTTTGCGGTTTTTCCTATGTATTAGCAGGTCTATAGGTAAGCTTTATTTGTGCTTATATCTACTTGAGTATCATTAGTTATATACTCATATATTAGTATATAATATAATTATACATTAAATATTCACCTAAATACCATAAACTACACATATGTCATTTTTAATTTTTAAATTTATGTTATTATATATATATATATATATATATATAAAACACTGGCCTAGTTTCTTTTCCTATTATTTGTCTTTTTATTTTATTGTTTTGCTTTTTCTTTATAAATTAGAATACTAACTACTGGTTTTCCACAAAATTTGTTGTGCATATTTACTATTCTGTGGCTTGTCTTCCAGCTTCATCTTTTATGGTTTTTGTTGAATAAAAGTATTTAATTATTATGCATCAGGTTCATCCATCTTTTTCTTTAGTGTTTAATGGGATGGGGAATAATGGGGGAGAATGATGGAAGGGGTGATATTGGTTAAGATCCATTATACTCTTAGCCTGACTTACAGAATTGTAACCTCTCTGTACAATTAATTATTAACAAAATAAAAGAAGAAATCCATCCCTATGTCAGAATCATAAAGATTTTTTCTTCTACATTTCGTTCTAAGGGTCTGGGAGTGTGGCTCAGTGGTAGAGTGCTTGCTTGGCATGCATGAAGCCTGGGTTCGTTTCCTCAGTACCACATACACAGAAAAAGCCAGAAGTGTAGCTCAAGTGGTAGATACAGTGTTAGACTTGAGCAATAGAAGCTCAGGGACAGCACCCAGGCCCTGAGTTCAAGCCCCAGGGTTAGCCAAAACAACAACAACAACAACAAAACTCTCTCTCTCTCACACACACACACATGGTATGTCAAATCTGTAATCCAAAGTACTTGGGAAGTAGGATAGGAGGCTTGTGATTTGAGGTCAGATCAGACAAAAAGATTTTTGAGAGACTCTATTCCAATGAATGGCTGAGCAGTGTTGCATACCTGTCACCGCCAGCCACACAGGAAACCACAAGTTGGGGATCACAACCCAATGAAGCTTGGGCATAAAGTGAGACCCTGCTTCAAAATAACTAACATAGGGGCTGGGAAGGTGGCTCAGTGGTAGAGCGCTTGCCTTGCATGCTCAAGGCCCTGGGTTCGATTCCTCAGCACCACATAAGCAAAAAGAAAAAAGCCGGAAGTGGCACTGTGGCTTAAAGTGGTAGAGCGCTAGCCTTGAGCTGAAGAGCTGAGGGACAGTGCCCAGGCCCAGAGTTCAGGCCCCATGACCGGACCCAACAACAACAACAACAACAACAACAAAATAACCAACATATAAAGGGACTGGAAGCATGGCTCAACTGATAGAAAGCCTACCTAGCCAAGAAAAGGCCCTGGGTTCTCTCTCTCTCTCTCTCTCTCTCTCTCTCACACACACACACACACACACACTCATGAGTTATATACATCTTTATTTTTCCTGGAATTTATGTTCATTATGTGGATAGGCATCTATTTCCCTCATGTGAATAGTTAGCACCATTTATCCAACAGTACTTCTCAGTTTATTTGCATTTTTATTGCTGTCTGTTTTGGTCATGTTCTAAGCTTCCTTTTGTTTCTGGGCTTATTTTTCCATTTCTTTGATCTTGTTACTCCTGGTTTTCACACTATGCACTTATACTTATTATGGCTTTATAATGTTTTGACATCTGGCAGATGAAGCTTCCCTTTCTTACTCTTGTTCTGGTGTCGATTTTCTCCTCCTCTTCCCCTTCCTTCTCCTCCTCCTCTTCTTCCTCCTTCTTCTTTTGATGTGCGGATAATGGGGCTTGAACTCAGGGCCTCCTATTCTTGCTTTGATATTTTGCTACGGCTAGCACTCTACCACTTGAGCTACACCTCCACTATTGGCTTTTTGTTAGTTAACTGAAATAAGAATTTATCTGTAAGTGCTAGCTTCGAACTCAAATCCTCTTATCTCAACCTTTTGAGTATAGGTCAGTGGTGCCTGGCCTTTTTTTTTTTTTTTTTAATTATCTGCATTCCTTTCCCACATTTTCTCTTCTTTCCCTCCTCTCTTTTTTGTCTTCTACTCTTTGCCCTTTGTTTTTTCATATCAATTTTAGAATGATTTTGTCTGGTTCCATTGAGAAATGCTATTGAAATTTTAATTGAAATCACATTGAATTAATAGATTAACTTGACATCTTTATATATTGTTCCTCCTTCTTATTCATGACCTTAGCATGTCACTCTATAACTCGAGAATGCTTTGATATCCTCACAAAGTTTTATAATTGTCTCAGAGTGTTCTTTAGATTTATAATTTTTGATCAGTTATGAGATGTAGCATAGTGTTTGATAAAGAAATGATGGACAACACCCTTATCTTTTCCAGACTTAGAGAATGTTATCAAAGTTTCACCGTTAAGAAGAATGTTTGCTATAGGTTTTAGCCCTTATTTGCAATAACTAGTAGATGTCTGAGACAAGCAGAAAAGGTCAGATAAGTTGATGTTAGGTGAAATGAACCCCAAGATAAGTATTCAAATGTTTTTCTTTCATGCGATTGTTTCTAACATATGTATAAGATGATTTCTTTGTTGCTTTGTATGTCCCTCCCTCACGGTATAACCCTGCTTTCACTGTATTTGATGTTGGTATAATTTGTGGAGGGGAAGGGAAAAAACAAATTGTTTAAATAGGGATATGGGTGGACCCATTGCAACAATGAGATGTACAAGTCGTTATGTCGAAAAACGAACTTTACAACTTTGGTGGGGGGAGGGGAGATGGGAAGGGATGGGAAGGGGGAGGCAACAATGCTTGATAAGAAATGTACTCATTATCTTGCCCATGTGATTGTAACCCCTCTATATGGTATTTTCACACACACACACACAAAGAGTCTTTATTATCTTCCATTCAACAATTATCTCTCCAACAATACCCAGGCTAGATTTTATCCCATTTATTGTGATTTTATTTCCTATTTCACTTATTATATTTTTGAAATTAATTAATTTTTGTTTCATATTTTATTTTTTCCAGTCTTGGAGCTTGAACTCTGGACTTGGGGGCTGTCCCTAGCATCTTTTGCTCAAGGTGAGTGCTTGAGCAAAAAAGCTTGAGCCTCAAGCTTTTTCTGTGATTAATTAGAGATAAGAGTCTCATAGACTTTTCTTCTCTTCCTGGCTTCACATCATGATCCTCAGATCTCAGTCTTCTGGGTAGCTAGGATTACAGGTTTGAGCCACCAGTGCCTAGCTCATATTTTTATTTTTGCTTGTGTTTCTCCCAAT